ATAAATAAACATGCTTAGGAGTTTAAAAATAATTCAGAGAAAGTGCTACGATTTTGGACAGAGGCAATTTTGTTTTTGAAAAATTTTAAAAATAATTTGATTGAATATTCGTTGCCATTAAAACAAATTTCGGATCAGTCTTGTTCTATTAATTATTGCACGGAAATTTGTTTCATACCTAGAAAACTGTTTTTTTTTTTTTTCTTTTTCACTCCTTTTGTTAATTTCTAACCACCAGGGACTTAATATTTGTAGTGAAAAAATTGCACATATATCCGAAGAATATGGTTTAAATACATATTTCAGTTAACTATAACTTTTCTTTTTGGAGCTACAATGTTCACAAACACATAGGCAGACCACTGTTTCCGTTAAAACAAGAACAAAATTGATGATCATTGAAAGACAAAGACTAAAAGAACCACTCTGAAAGAGATTGAGAAAAAACCTGGTACGGACATTTGAAAAGAATGCCTGAAGGAAGACTACCCAAATAAGTCCACTTATGGAAAATTAGGGGAAGAAGAAGACGAGGAAGACCTGGATTGACGAAGTGGAGGAATACATGATGGGTCACGATAAAAATGGACCTTAGAAAGGACATTATGGAAAGAAACCATACAAGCACTCTAGGTTAAGGAAATCCACTATTAGTGGAAACTCTTAATAAAAAAAAAAAAAGATAAATAGGTTGATATGAAGTATGGTACCAATTATTAGTAAATTAATATAACGAACGATTGATTGCCTCGAGAAAGAAGCTATGAAACTAGTGTTGCCCAAATGCAAGACCGAGACGATTCTTAGTCTTGCAAACTCAGTCTTGGTCAAGAGTCTCACAGTTGCTTATTAGCTTATTACTGTATTTTTTAGATAGGAGAATCATAACTAAGCCCGGCTGAAAAAATAGAAGAGTTAAATGTAAAAGTATATTGACTATAACAATTATTTACATATAGTAACTAAGATTGTCTATTTTAAGTAACTATTTTGTCTTAATTGTTATTCAAAAAATTCAAATTTTTTTTTACCAATCTCGGTCTTGGTCTTGCAATAGTTAGGCGGTCTTGGTCTTGGTCTTGCAAAGTGCAAGACCAAGACCGATTTTGGACAACACTATGTGAAGCGACTGAAAATAAAATAATAAATTCACAAAGAAATTAAAAAAACAGCATTATTAAATGTAGTAATGACGTAACCATGAAGCCATACACGAATACATTGGTTGACTTAAATTGCTAATCAGTAAACAATTATTCTAATCTTGTCTCTGTCAAGGACACGAAGAGCTTAATAACTTTTTTTAATCGTTTCTTTATTGAGTAATATTAGATATCGTCATAATCAGGGACATTAGTAATAGTGAAACAGTGGTTCATTCTACTTCATGTACAATAAATTGAATAATACAACAGAAAAATAATAGTATTAGAAATAAATAAATTTATATAAACAAAAAGAAACTTAACAACATAAACTTATAGTTTCTCTCGGTGCGAATACAACATTTATCGTTTAATCTTTTAATCCAATGCAATGCAAAATCGATGATGAAAAAAATAATTAAAACCATAACAGAACATTTCCTTCACCTTGGCCGGTATACTCGAACCATATCATAGATTTATATTAATCTATTGTGAAGCGGTTACGAAATAATCCGTTCCCGTAACAGGTTACAGTTCCGTTATATGTAGAGACCCGTAGGTTCAGGCGAGTATTCGACCGTGGAGGCCATTGTCAGTGGGGCTTCCGTTAGGGGTTAGAACTTCCATCCACCTTCGGCGGGATTCGATCATGCACCGGGGTTACCGTTTCCTAGCTATTATTCCACTTTTATAAAGCAGAAGGGGGAAAAAAGCCAGGATAATATTCCTTCGTGGCCCGGATGAAGCTGTGAGATGTACCATGCATAGTCCAGGAAATACAAACTCATTGGCATGCAAGGTTTTTGAAGAGTTTTTTAAATACAGCTCAATGGTATCCAGGACTTTGGTCGCCAGATCACTTGAATATGTAACTTACTCAACAGTATTGATTGATGCTTGTTTCACTTTAAAAATAGCAAATATAAGAAAATATAATCACGAATTGCTATTATTTACGTTATTATAAGGAAAATAATAATGAAGAAAAAGAAAGATTATTGAATTTATTTAATTTTTTATTCCTGTATTTCTAAGTTGTATGTATTTGTTTTTTTTTTAATTCAGTTTGTTAAGACTTGATGTTTTCAAAGATATAACTTCTAGTAGGCCCGTGTGAAAAATTCGCACAGCATATTGTTTTCAAATGCCAAAAATTAATAAGAAAATAAGAAAATGCAACAATCCATTAATGTTTGGAACTAACATGTTTACCAATTTGCAATAACCTGTATCTTTGCTAAAAATAGTCCGATTTCGATTTTTTTTTTCCTTTCGTACGGAATTTAGTAATCTTTTATATAATCATGGGCATAACTAAGGGAAAAGCGTGTAATTTTTTAGTTATTCCAAAATAAATTTTGTTTTATTTCATAACTTGTTTGTCTGAATTTTCGGAGTGATTGGACTATTTTGCCAGGCTGAAGGAGAAGGAAGCCTTCGAAATTGGTGGTTCAATCTTGAGATTTGGTGAAAAATTAAACATGATATGGCTTTCCGATCAAAAACGCCATCGATAAATAATATAAACTCCTCTTCTCTCGATCATAGAGACCTCAAGTCGACGAAATGAGACAATTATTTAATGACAGTACTACAATTAACGTAAGGTTGTGTGGATGTGAACCCTATGCCTTGCAATATCTCGAAAATAGCAAGTTTTTGGGCTTAAAAACGAAGGATCCGGTCTTGCTGCACGCATCAAAATTTTTCAAGATCCAATTTGTCCCTTATCGATCTACAGACCTACCACCGTTCCTGTATTGAAGCCTAGCAAAATGTTTGTATCGACTTTATTTATTTTAGAATGAAAAACAAAAGTGGAGAGTACGATTCGCTAACCACCCGTGAAATTCTGAATCCAACGGTTCCCCATTCGTGTTATTTGAGCATGACAGTAGCTTATATTTGGTACAAAACCGATTTCGAGCCTTACTGTAATAATATATGTGGGGATAAACGAGAAGTCAGTCGGTTGCAGTTAACAAAATAAGTGGAAATTATACAGTGCCTCTTAATCAAAATGGTATACCTGGATATACATTGAAATTATTGAATAAATAAGCAGTTCAATTTATATCACATTGAAAACAATAATTTATTGTAATCAATAAATAGCCTAATAATATGTTGTTTCCTTATGTTATGTTTCTAGGTGTGGGAGTATATGATGGCTTCTGGTGTAAGAAATCATCACTTTATAGCATAAATATTCACATAGTATTGTGAATAAACATGATTACATAGACATTTAAAAAAAATAAATTTCGGAAAAACTAGGGCTAAAAAACAAATTTAGTTTTTATCGGAATAACTGCATCAAAGTTATAAAAACTACTACAGTTGCCATACTATATTAAAAACAGAACACCTGTGGACAAAATTGAAGGTAGAAAATATAAAACACGACATTTCTAACAAAGAATACTTAAAAACATCTCATCGAGGAGTGCAGTCTATCTTCAGAATTCACCAAACAATTGGTCGACTCTAAGATATTGAACTAAATTTGATAGTATTTATTTATGATAGTATGTATTTATTTATTAATAGTATTTAAAAGTTGATAAATAGTAAACTGTATCATTTTGAATGTGAGGTAGGATTTTCATTTTTTTTTCTTTGTTAATGTTTTTATTCACAGTTGAATATTTTAATTCTACTGAATTTGTGATTATAAATAAATCTGTTATAGAGTTTCTGGTTTTATTTGTTTACTGTAACCATTGAACCATTTTTTTTTATTTTTCTACGGAGTGTATCTGATTATGTTTATTTCATTAGTCCGCACTTTGTTTATTATTATTTTTATTACTATTATTATTTATTGCTTAGTCCTCTGTTATTGTTATTATTCTGTCTATTTTATTTTACTTTCATGTTCAGTATATCTACTTCATTTCACCTCAGTCAATATCTTTCACCTTTTTAATTTTTTTTTTTTTTTTATTCATTGATATTTACAACTGTATTTTAAAAAAAATATAACTAGTAAAAGTGCACAGTTTTTTGTCCCGGATATAAATCAATCAGCGAAGATATCCCCCAGAAAGTGTCTCCTAACAAATGAATATACAATTTAAATGCCTTAAACTATTTTTGGGTAGTTTCTTGGAAGATCATGTTATAAAGGTAGCTTTGGTGTATAAAGTTGTAAAGTTAATTTTTTTTTTTATTGAAATTTACAACTGTATAAATGATAAATACAACAAGTAAATTTGAAACAACTAACATGACATTTACAACATGAAGAGAAACTATCCATTGGTAGCACTCTAATAATATATTAACATAAGTAGATCACGAGACCAACTTCTTTTCAGACGCCTAGGAGGGTTGTCAGGTATCGGAGAGGAAGCAAGGTTTGAAACGAGAGGATTCGGATGGTTCTGGAGTTTGTTGTGGAAGGATAGGTATCTGGATTGGGCCAAATCGGAAACATATGGAACGTTAAGGTCTTCATGGATGATTTTATCTGTGACAAAGGGGCGTTGAGGATTTTACGGAAGATTTTAGATTGTAAGGATTGGATACGAGAGGAATTCGATGCATTTTTAATTTTAATTCTTTATTATTCAATGTTTATAGTTTCTCATACCTATTGTTAGTTCTTTTCTCAGCCCTAAAAAAGGCCTGAACTTCGGCAAATGTAAAAATAAATATTATTTTTTTTTTGCTATTTTTTATTTTGACTGATCGTCCCAACCATCCTTCTATTCAATTATTCACTACAGTCAACCATCAACCCACAGTTATAATAATTATAAATTAAGGAATTAGCTGTTTTTTCGAATACTTTTAAGTTTGAAAATAATCGGGCTACCCACCAGACTATTTCTGAAATGCTTAGCATCATCAACATCGTGACTGCTTACTGCTTTCGGTAAGCAGTGACTTTCTGTTTACACAGAGGACGGTCACCTCGAGCACCTCGAAGCAGGGAGAGTCTGTTATCCCGGGCTGACGGAAGGCTATTGTTCTTGGCTCAACAATAAATGACCTATTTGGCACGGCTGCCGCTGGCCTTGGTTCGAGCCTCGCCGTAGAATATTGATGTACAGGATTCCCTCTCCTCAATTCGAAACTTACTTAACAACACTTAATTATTATTATAAAATAAACTTTCAAGTGGCGTATCAGTCTACATTAAATATAATATGGCGGTATAGATTAAATATTGAAACATCCTTTTTTCAACTCTCTGAAGAGATGGGATTTTCATGAATGAGGTATTAAATGAAAGTGAATTTCAATGAGAAGTGATAAATCTCAATTCCATAACAAAAATCCTTACTTCAACTACAGTAAAAATTGTAGAAAAAAATCGTTTCAAAATTCGACCTGAGGTCTCGAACCGGAGTATTGGAAGTCAGCGCCATACCATCTAGCTACCCCAATCCTTTGAAATTCTATAGATGCTATTAAATATTTTTGGAAAATAAACAGATAATTACAGCATAGCTTCATAGAGATAAGACATGCAGTATAGGAATCAAATGGAAAATTATCGTTTATTAAGGAGTTAAAAATGAAGAGGGAGAGAGAGATGATAAAAAGAGGGGGAGAGAGAAAAACAGAAATAGAGAGAGAATACATGACCTTCCAGGCAAAGCATTTACAGCGTAAAACAAGAAAATTGCCAGATCAAGTCATTACAGCTAAAAAAAAGTATTATTTCAAATTTTGAATTATGATAACCAGCACAGATAATTTTATTTTTCAAATTATTCTACCATCCAAGCTTTGCACTTAAAAACATATCACTAAAAAATAAGCACGTTCATAATTAATTAGCAAGGAATAGAAGCTTCCTGATTCGCGTTTTAGTTTCCCACCTTAAGTACAATCCTTCGGAAGAGTGTCCGGAAGATGAAGTTTCGTTTCCAAAGTCAGTCGAGTCCTAAGTGTTCCATCAAAGGACATTATACATCATCAGCTCCCACTAGAAACATTGAACTCAAACTAATTAAATTACTATCAATGTTGGTTTTAAAAAAAAATGCTTTATAGATTGAAACAAACAAAAACAAAAAAAGTTCGGATAGAAGCAACGAGTGGAACAAATGCATGTAATGATGGATTAGTCATGCCTTTCCACCATGACGGAAGGTGTACTCCAGTTCTTGAACAGCACGAGGAAACGTATGCATACTGTGGTTCAACAATACATTCATCTGATTGGTAAACATGAGAGAAATCTTAAAATTCGTTTGGAAAGTTCGGAGTTTTTTGTCCCGGACATACATCAATCAGCGAAAATATTCCCACAGAAGGTGTCTCCTAACGAATGAATATACAATTTAAATGCCTTAAACTATTTTTGGGTAGTTTCTTAGAAAATATCATGTTAAAAAGGAAGCATTGGTGTATAAAGTTAATTTTTTTTTATTATTATTGAAATTTACAACTGTATAAATGATAAATACAACAAGTAAATTTGAAACAATTAACATGACATGTACAACATGAAGAGAAACTCCATTTATATTTCTATATTAGAAGGTCCTGATGCCATCTTCTTTTCAGACGCCTCGGAGGGTTATCAGAGATAGAAAAGGAAGCAAGGTTGGAAACAAGAGGATTCGGATGGTTCAAAAGTTTATTATGGAAGGATAGGTATCTGGATTGTGCTAAATAGGGAACATATCGTTATGGATGATTTTATTTGTAACAAAGTAGGTAGCATTGAGGATTTTACGAAGGATTTTGGATTGTAGGGATTGGACACGAGAGGAATTTGATGGTTTAGTAGAGCCACAAAGCTCGATCCCGGAAGTCCAAACAGGCCTTATTATAGTAATATATATATGAGTCTTTTGTAGATAGTTGGAAGTTTAGAGCGTTTGTCTAGTAAGTGATGCAGCAGTCGAAAACGTCGGGCGGTTTCTAATCGTTTCAGTCTGATATGGAGTATGGGGGTAATTTGATGGTATTTAGTGGAATTTATTTTAATCCTCCAGTATTGACACCATTTTTCAAGACTTGTGACGTGTGAATGAAGAGTTTGAGATGAAATAGATGGATCGTTGTTAACTGAAATGATACACGTGTCATCGGCATAGGTGGTGATGACAGTGTTGGATAAAGTTAATGAATTGAAAACTGTCTGTTACTAGGTCGCCGTGACTAGGTTAATGAAAGGTCATGCAAATTTGAATTTTTTATTTCTGTATTCCTCTTCCTTGTCTTTTAGGCTATACGGGGTTTTTCCCAGTCCGGGAAAAGGGAGCGGAGAAAAATTTGATTTATTTATATCTCATCAATAAACGGCCACCTCTAACATGCGTAAACTGCAAAGGCCCTGTCACTGTCAGTTATATTTTGCATGAATTCCTCTATTATACCTCAAACTTAAGTAGATCATCTCTCAGACCGAATGCGTCAGTGATACTAAATAATGATGAATCAAACATAGAAGCAGTTATGAGGTTCCTTAAAACCCCCATAGGTTATTTTACAGAATATAGAAATGCAGATAATTTTTATTTAAATTAAAAAAACAAAATAAATAAATATAATTTAAGAAAAATCGAACAATATGTTAAACATCCAAGAAAAAATCTACAGCTACCACGGAGGGAAGTGGTAGTTGTTACCCGCTTGAGGATTCACCATTGTTGACTTAGCCATGCACACGTGCGGATCTACGGGGGAGGGGGAGGGTTTCGAGCTGAAACCCCCCTTCCTCCCCAAAATGGTAAAATATAACCATGTTTTATGGGAATTTTTTTTTTTTTTAAATACTTCTTAAAATATTATTGTTCATGTAATTACTTTTAAAATGACTTAAGGAATCACTTAAACACCATTTCATAAAGGTAGTTAGTTTCTTTCTGTTTTTCCAAACTAATTTTCGTTATTTTTATGAAAAAAAAAAAGCTTTTGGACTGAAGCTCCCCTCCAAAATTAAATCCTGGATCCGCTAGTAGCCATGCATATCTGAAGAAGATGGAAGAACCGCCAACATGTTCTTATACAGGCGGTGTATTCTAACAGTGTTCACATACTAACAGAGTGTATGCCTTCAAACTTCAAGTGACTAAAGAGACTTCAGTGTAAATGAACCCAGTGGTCGAAGAACTCAAACAAATAAATAATTTTTATTTTTGCCTTTGTTTATTTTCTATTTATTGATATTTTATTTATTTCCCATTATTATTATTAATTTATTTTATTTCATCATTTAATTAAAAAAATATTTTTTTTTTATATTTTTCTCTTTTAAGGAGTTTCTGAACTCCAGTGAACAAAAATAAATGAACAAAGGTTGTTGATGACCATTGGGTTTTGCGCTTTGAAGTTCACTTTGAATCAGATAATTATAATCTGATAATTCATATTAGAAAGGGAAAATAGTCCCAGTTTTATTCGATTGAAATAACGTTCTCTTAGTCCCAGGAGTGCAGACATAAACACAGGCCGCACCTTTCCTTTTCGAAACCAGAGGTCACGGTCGGGTTCTGCGCTGTGGTGAAATGTCTGCATGCTCGCTCTTCGACACTCGAGGATCCGACTGGATCGTCGCCTAACGGTGTCTTCTTGTGCACTCTTAAGTATTCTATGGGCGTCGCCTGAGGAAGAGTACTTGGCAAAGGCCAAATAGGTCGCGGTGAATGGGCTCTGCATTGTCAACATGAGGTGATAGTATCCTGTGGAAATTTTGGTTCAATGCCATTATTATCAGTGCACAATTTGGATTCATTATTTTTTTTTGGCTAAAATGTTATGATAAAATTAAAACGGTCGCCGAATTTTTAAAACTTTCTTCATGCAGTAACCAATTTTTACAAGGAAACATTTTACTGCAAAGGATATTGGGATTTTTAATGCTAGAAAAAAAAATGCATCTGCACTTGACAAGACCAAGACCGCCTGACTGTCGCAAGACCAAGACCAAGTCTATTAAAAAAAAATCGTTTTTGTGAATAAAAATTAAAATAAAATAGTTAATAATACTTGACAATTTTAGTTACTCTATGGAAAAAACTGGTATAACCAATATACTATTAAACTCATCCAATTTTTCATTCCGACTATGTTAGGTTTCTCCTTTGTGAAAAATTATGGTAATATCTCTATAGTAACAGAATTGTAGGTAACTGCAAGACTGTTGTGAGACTCTTGCACAAGACTAAGACCCAGACCAAGACTGAGTGTGAGAAAAATGGAAAAATATTTTAGATAACAACACTGTCATCACCACCTATGACGATAACACGTGTATCCTATAGATAATAACGATCCATCTATTGCATCCCAAACTCTTCAATCACACATCACAAGTCTTGAAAAATGGTGTCAAAACTGGAGGATAAAAATAAATTCCAACAAATCCCATCAAATTACCCCATACCAGACTGAAACGACTAGAAACCGCCCGACGTTTTCGACTACTGCAGCACTTACTAGACAAACACTCTAAACTTCCAACTATTTACAAAAGATTCATATATATATATTACTATGATAAGGCCTATTTGGACTTACGGGATCGAGCTTTGGGGCTCTACTAAACCATCAAATTCCTCTCGTACCCAATCCCTACAATCCAAAATCCTCAATGCTCCCTACTTTATCACAAATAAAATCATCCATAACGACCTTAATGTATCATATGTTTCCAATTTAGCTCAATCCAGATACCTATCCTTCAATAATAAACTTCTGAACCAACCATCCGAACCTCTTGTTTCCAGCCTTGCTTCATGTTCTATTCCTGATAACCATCCGAGGCGTCAGAAAACAAGATGGCTTCGGGACCTTCTAATATAGAAATATAATTGGAGTGCTACCAATGGCTACTTTCTCTTCACGTTCTACATGTAATGTTACTTGTTTCATATTTCCTTGTTGTATTTATCATTTAATACAATTGTAAATTTCAATAATAATAAAAAAAAAAAAGACATTCAGATCAAGGAAAACAAGAGTCGTGGAAAATTTCATATTAAAAAAATGTAGAAAAAAAAGAAAAAAGAAAATATGAGTGAAATATAAATAAATGACTTCCATAGTTCAAAAACGGAGGACCGGTAGTGCGTTTTACCGGAAATAATCACATTAGATATGATTGAAAATTCTATTATTTTATAGATTATTGACTATAATTTTTTTTAAGAATAGCAAATAAAAGTAAAAGTACATTTTTCATAAAAATATGCATACACAAAAAACGGTTTTTTGTATACTTAAATACATTTTGGTTGAGGACTGCTGAAGATGATTAGAGAGGAGGATTTTTGGCTTTAATTAGCCTCCCCCCTCCCTCTTTTCTTTCCCCCTTTTTCTTTAAAATAGAAAAATATATATTTTTTTTTTTTACATTTTTTTATATTATTATTTAGACAAATGGGGTCCAGTGAGGCTGGATCTGTGAGGACGACAATATTACACTTTTTGTAGTTGAGGTTAGTATGTCCTTCGGCATTAAAAACCGCAAGAAGTTCTACATGGAAGATAATAAATTGTTTGGGACAGAATAAATCAGATGGACCATTTTCTGCGGGTTATAAACGGCTATTGAGTTACTGGTTGTCATAGAAACCTCAGTATGAATTTTATATCTATACAATATCTATTTATATCAATATCTATCAGCTGTTTCACAGAGAGTAGGAAGTGTTAACATACATGGTAATAATATTTTTTTATCCTCACATATATTATTGCAGTAAGGCTCGAAATCGGTCTTGTACCAAATATCAGCTCCTGTCATGCTCAAATACCATGAATGGGGTACCGTTGGATTCAGAATTTCACGGGAGGTTAGTGAATCGTATTCTCCACTTTTGTTTTTCTTTCTAAAATCAATAAAGTCGATACAAACATTCTGCTAAGCTTCAATACTGGAACGGTGGTAGGTCTGTAGATCGATACGGGACAAATTGGAGCTTGAAGATTTTGATGCGTACAGCAAGACCCGGATAGTTCCTTCGGAACTATCGGATCTTGCGTTTTAGGCCCAAAAACGAACGGGCTGTCTTGGGTTCGCACACAACCTTACGTTAATTGTTGTACAGTCATTGAATACATGTCTCATTTCGTCGACTTGATCGAGAAAGGAGGAGTTTATATTATTTATCGATGGTGTTTTTGATCGGCAAGCCATATCATCATTAATTCTTCACCAAATCTCAAGATTGAGCCACCAATTTCGAAGACTTCCTTCTCCTTCAGGCAGACAAAATAATCCAACCACCCCGAAAATTTAGGCATACAAGTTATGAAAGAAAACAAACTTTATTTGCGAATAACTAAAAAATTACACACTTTGCCACCAATTTATGCCCATAATTATATAAAATATTACTAAATTCCCTACAAAAGAAAAAAAAGTCATCTAAATCGGACAGTTTTTAGCAAAGATACAGATTATTGAAATTTGTAAACATGTTGGTTTCAAACATTAATGAAGATTTAAATTAATTTTTTGTTTCCTTTGTCGATTATATTTATCGATAGAGTAACAATTGATTTCTTTATCCTTTGATACGTTGCATCATTTTATTTTCTTATTAATTTGGCATTTGAAAACAATATGCTGTACGAATTTTTTTCACGGGCCTACTAGTTATTTGTATTTGACTATTTGAATTTACTACGATAAAGGATCAGGGATTTCTGAATATGTTTATAAGTTTATTAAATTAACTAACGGTACAAGGAGGAAGTACGGCTCTGGTTTTGTTGTACATGCGATGCTTGTTAACTCAAACTTGTTTACTAAAGGGATTGAGGTTACCTAACTGTCATCTCTAGTAAACTAGAATATAATGTAGAGTTATATACCTACGTTACTGGGAATATATAATTTTATATGTACATATATTTATAATATTATATTTAGGATGTAATAATTAGAATATTATATTTATAATATTTAATCTCTTTTAAAATGTAGTTTATTTTTATTCAACTGTATATAATTTTAAGTTACTACATAAATAATTGCAGGAAATTTTACAAATAATTATTTTTTCCTTTTCAATATATTTTATAAATAAATAAAACTATGAACCTCTTTCTCACTTTAAAAAAATAATAATATTCACTGGAATAAATAAGAATTAAAGAAAGAAAGTAAAAATAATATGAAAATTTTTAAATAATTAATTTTTGTCAAATATACAGGGCGTCCCGTAAGTAGAGAGAAACATTTAAAAGGTTGATAGCAGACATCAACATTTACAAAAAGTTCAAGTAAATAGTTTCCCAATTTCCAAACAGAAAAGTAATAAATTTACTATATATAGATATATATATATTTTTTTTTTCGATACGTGGTAACCCCACAGAAGGATCGTTTATTTGATTTTCCTTCATGCTCCATGCCTTAAAGACCTACTACATGAATTACATTTGTTTACAATTTTTTTTTTCTAGTTTTACATGATATTCATTTTTAGTTCAAATTTATATACATTAACAAACAAAAATACAAAGAATAATAACACAAAAATTAAATCGGAAAATTAAATATTAAACACACAAAGTCAATCCAACAAAGCCAACAAGAAATCACTCACGCTGCCCATCCCTGGTTAGTAAGTCGAAGTCGATAGATCTAATAAATCTAAGAAAGTCTGTCTTGAATTCAGTAAATAACTTTTGTTCCGTCTCAAGCCAATTTCCGCTTTTGATAATTATGCTTTTTTATTAACTCAAATCGCTGTCTGTCAAATCGTTTACATTCATATATTATATGTTTAAAATTTTGAACCTGTCCGTCTTCTAATATATATATAATATATATTTAGGTGATTTCTTATTGGCTTTGTTGAATTGACTTTCTGTGTTTAATATGCTTGGGTCCGATTTATTATTATTTTTGTGTGTTTATTCTTTATGTTTTTGTTTGTTAATATATATAAATTTGAACTAAAGATTCATATCATGTAAAACTGGAAAAGAAAATTATGTAAACAATTGTAATTCATGTAGTATGTCTTTAAGGCATGGAGCATGAAGGTGAATCAAACAAACGATCCTTGTGTGGGGTTGCCACATAGGAAAAAAAATAAAATAAAATAAATAAATAAATAAATATATATATATATATATATATATATATATATATATATATATATATATATATATATATATTGACTCATCTGATCAATATCAAAGGGGTTTACTGATTGGTGATGAAAAATGGGATAAAATTCATATGATTCGCCGGATAGAATGACAATTTGACAGACAGATGTAGATATGCATAACGTAAAATATATTAACATAATATATAATATAGATCCATTGACGATATACAAAAGACGCAGCTAGTACGTGCCCTACATTCAATGTGTAATTTTACGTGGGTTGAATTGTGAAGACTGCATTAATAGGAATTGTAGGCCTTAATTGAAGCTGACGCTATAGGCAACACAGTAACACGATCTTCCAATTCAAACTAATAATATTTTAAAAAAAATACAATATTCACTTATTAAATCGTTAGTTAAATTTACCACATCAAAGCTGTGTTGGTAGTGTTTAGGTTACGAATAACAAGTCTTATAAATGACTAAAATCCATGCAGTAACAAGTCGGAAATTTTAATGACTACTTTGAAAAGAGATCGATTCAGTCTAGATATAATAATATATAATTTAAACATGAACAAAAACATAAGAATT